TTAAATTCATTAAATACAAATAAAACTGAAGCTGTCCATGAGCTCTTTATGCACCGTAGATCTTACTTTTGGAGTAGCTTTCCATTTTTCTGAGGTTAGAATTTTCCTTAGTGTGGGCCTGTTAGTGGCCTACTTGGCTTTAGTTTATGTGAAAATAAACCCTCATTGTTGGAAGGCAATTCTTCTGGGATGTAATTCTAGACTGACAGTTGTTTTCTCTCAAAATTTTGAAGATAGAATTAATTCCCAATTTTGAAGATAGAATTGTCTGCCATGGTTGCTGTCGAAAGTTCACTTTGAGCTTTAGAGCCTTCCTTATGCAAGTGAGCTCTCATTTTCTCTGCATGTTAAGAATTCTTTCTTTGCCCTTCTTACTATGCAGTCTTCACTATGATGAGGCCATTGTGGAATTTTGATCAGTCTAGAATGCTTCTTCAATTTAGGAATTCATGCCTTTCATCAGCAACTTTAAAAAAATTTGGCTGTATTCCATTGTCTCTATTTCTGTCTTTCTAGAGCTCTAAAGAACAAAATTATTGAACTGTAGTCTAGTAGTCCTATCTTTTATTCTCTCTTTCATACATTCCATCTCCTGCGCCTTCTGGGTAATTTCCTCAACTCCTCTACCAGCTCTTTAAGTCTCCCTGAAAACATGTAACTCATACCCTTTTTTACTGCATACACGAAAATGAACATTATACCATTGATTAGTATTCCCTGAATTTTACCATGAATAATGACACCACTTATAAAAATTCAACTACACATTTTATTGCCATTATTCAAATTCATGCCATCATTATTGTTGTTTGCCTAATAACACTAAAAAAGTAATGTAGAAGTAGAACAATAGGCATCTTCCAGCGAGTTTACTACATTTGTTCACTCTCAAAGTAATTGCTAGAATGTGGATGTTTACATTGAAATCTCTTCTCCCTCATTTTTTCTTTTCAGAGTCTTAAAAGAGGCAGTGAGTAGAGAGATTTCCAACTGAAAAAGAATAAAAAAAGTGAAAACAATTCCTATTCTGCTAGGTTGTGTAACCCAATAGGAGGGTTGCTGAATGTCTTTTTAGGAGATAGATGACAGCAAGTAAGCTTCAGCTAAGTATTAGTGCCTTTGTGTTAAAGAAAGCAATTATAGCCTGCCAGGCAAGGGCCTCTCGTTGACAATGAGGCCTGGTGGTGCAGTGTCAGTAGGGGGCCAGAGCAAAGGAGCCTGGTCCTGGTTAATTATGAGAAAAGCAAAATTAGGCCATATTGATTATTTCAGTGCAAGTCATCAATGTTCTCTCAGCTCCCCACATTTCCTCTTTTTTCTCTTTGTCCTTTCCAGACTTTAAAGGAGTCCATTAAAGACTTTAGAGAGGAAAATTCTCCATGTTGGTGGTGATGTTTTCCTTTTCTGTGTTATGCTAAAATATAATGGCATGAAGTGTACCAAGCTTAGTCATTTTCAAGTATATAATTCAGTGGTATTTCGTACAACCAAAATGTGTGTATGAACTGCACCATTATCCATCCACGTAACCCTTCATCACCCGAAAGTGAAGCTGTAGCTAATAAACAGTCACTTCTCCACCCCTCCCCAAAGCACCTCTTAGGCACTGTTCTACTTTTTATTATGTCTTAACTTCCATCTGTCTGTCTCTATGGTTGTCCTAGTAGCTCGTGTAGATGGATTACTTCATTTAGCATAATGTTTTAAGGGCTCAGTCTTATATACTGGGCCTTGAAGAATTTATTTTAGAACAGATGTCAGGCAGCTGCTGGTTTAGAGACTATAGAAAGTTGTCCCTGTGTAGTTGTTTACTATCAGTCTTCTCCATATAAATGTTCAGATGTAAAATGTGGTCTAGGGGAAGCAAATGGAAATGTCCTGTCACTGCCATATATTATGCAATTCTGAATTTTTAACTTCAATGGCCAAAAAAAAAATTCTTATTCTGATTCATTTCTACCACCACAATTTTCATGTGCTCCTTGCACCTCTGAGAAACTTAAAACCCCTGCAATGTCACCCTCCTTACTAGCCATTGCCTAAGGAATTTGTCTTATGGAAGAATTTGTTCATGTTTAGAATAGAGGGAAGTTAGCAAGATAACCAGAAAAAAGTAGACCACAAGTAAGCTGTTTCCTCTGACTTGACGAAAGGACCACATTTGGGGCAAGAAAATGACCCAGTACAACCATTCCTTCTGGAAGAATTTGCTGTTTGATGCCTCTTGGTCCTTTTTTCCCCTTCGTGTGAAGTTTCCCTTTATCTACATGGGCTGCCCCAAGGGCGTCTCCACAGACCAGAAATCCACTGAGAAGGGAAGGATACAGAAGGTAGGAAGAGCCAGGGGAATGAAGACTTAAGAACAAAACAGCAGAATAAAAGGAAATAGGAGCCGATTCCCTGTCTGGACCTGAATGTTCAGAATATTTATAATATTTGCTTAAGGCCAGCATGGAGTGGGCAAAACAGAGGAGGCCGCATGACTTGTATTCTTAAGTTTAAGAAGTAAATAAAAACTAAAACAGCTTTTAGAAGCAAATGTAGAAGCAGAAAAATGTATAGTTTTCAAATAATAATGGTTACTTATAGCAACCATGTACTTATAGTAAGTAACCATGGTACTCTATAGTACTCAGAGACTTATGCTGTTATGGCACCCAATGAGTTTTTTACTCATGGATGTTGGAATTTTGTCTGTCCTGTAAGAGTTCTATAAGTGTAGACACACACTATGCACACATATATATTCACACACATGTATATATGAGTAACCTTACATTCTAGATTTGTTAGACAAAGGAAGTTTAATACTTGAGAGTGTGGCTCAAGTGGTAGAGCACTAGCCTAGCAAGAGCAACATCCTGGGTTCAATCTCCAATACATGCCAAAAAAAATTTTTTTTTAAAAATCTGTAAGTGAGGGGCTGGGAAGGTGGCTCAGTGGTAGAGCACTTGCCTTGCATGCCTGAGGCCCTGGGTTCCATTCCTCAGCACCACATAAACAAAAAGAAAAAAGCCGGAAGTGGCGCTGTGGCTCAAGTGGTAGGGCACTAGCCTTGAGCTGAAGAGCTGAGGGACAGTGCCCAAGCCCAGAGTTCAGGCCCCACGACCGGACCCAAAAAAAAAAATCTGTAAGTGAAAATGTAGTTCAAATAGTGGACCACCAGCCTTGAGTGAAAAAGCCAAGCAAAAAGAGTTCAAGCCCCCAGTACTCTCCCCCTAATCTGTTTCTTGCTATATAATTAATGAAAGTAAATTAAATAGAAAGTGTTTATGGTTAGATGGAAAAACACTTATCATATGTAATAAACTTATAAGTAATGTTTAAAAAACTATATTATAAATGAACTTGATAATACATCTTTAAGTATGATCACCTGTAATGAAATGTTTCACTAAATGTCCTTCTTTTATTATGCCATAAAAGAATGGCAAAATGATGAAGTCTGCAAAATTATACATTATGCTGAACACATAAAACTAATTTTTAAAAAAACTAAGAATATTGAACCGCAGGGATAATTTCTGCCATCAGTCATCTGATGTATTTGTAGTACATATATGACATAAAAATATGCATGCATTGTTAACAAAATACTTCTCATTCCTTCCTGTCCCTCAGTTTGACCAGATATTTTTCTCTGTTTAATATACTTTAAGTTGCACATTTCCTGTTAAGTTGGGGGTACATTTTATAATTATCAGCAGCCTACAGTGAAAGCAGGCAGCCAAGCTGCAGTTGGAACTAGAGCATGGTTGCACAAGTGTGAACATCAAAAGAGCCAGCATCAAAACTTGCAGAGTGGGTGCCAGTGACTTGGAAGAAAACCCTGCAAGCAAGAGAGTTTTTTTTTTTCTCCTTTTATACCCCTATGAACCAAATGGCTGTGGAGGAGTGAATCGGACATGTTTAGCAACATTCTTTAAACAGGAGTCAAAAGTAAGCTAACTATGTAATTGCAAAAGCCACTTTAGAAGCCCAGCTCTATGACTCTTGGTTCTTTTATGATTTATTTTAAGAAATGCTGTATCACCAACCTTTTAATACAGAGGATGACAGTGTGGGTAAACACAGACATCAAAGAGTCTCAATCAAGTTTTGAGTACGAAAAGTAAAATGTTGGAATATTGAAGCCAATTTATTTTATTTGATATTCCTTTTATTTTACATGTAATAGTATGATAAAAATCTGTAATTGAGTTTATAACAGCTCTTTTAATAAGTTAAATAAAAACACTGATCCTGTCATAATTTAACTTGCCATGTGTGGGAGGAAGGGGACTGAAAAAAATTTTCTTCTTTCTTTCCTTTCTTTCTTCTTTCTCTCCTTCCCTTCCTCTTTTTCTTTGTTCCTCTTTCCTTTCCTTCTTCCTTCCTTTCTTCCTTCTCACCTTCCTTCCTATTCTCTTTCTCTTCTTTCCTTCCCTCCTTCCTTCCTTTTCTCTCTTTCTTTCTCTTTCCCTCCTTCCTTCCTTCCTGCCTTCCTAGAACTTCCCTCCTTCCTTCCCACACTCTATCTCTGTCTCTGTTTCTTTCTCTATGTCTCTCTCTCTTGCTTGCTTGCTTTCAACAGGGTCTCACTATAGAGCCAAGCCAGTCTTGAATCGGTGATTCCTTTGCCTTAGCTGCTGGAAGGCTGGGATTATAGGTATATGACACATCAGCCAGATTTTTTTTTATAGTAAGAACACATTAGGCTGAAAGGATATGCAGTTTGGAGATTCAGTACTCCCCTCTCTCTCCTAAAATGGGGAGCTAGGAAGCTTGAATGACCTGAAAGTTTTGATAACTAAACTGTGCTCCCAACTCCTCTGGTTTTGTCCATTTTAACAAAAATCTTGAAATTGTTCTTTTGTTTGACAAAGGGTTTTTTTTTTGCCCAAGATTTTCAAAAGCAGGTAGCTCTTATTTTACTGACCCCAGAATATTTCTTAGAAGGAGACACCCTAATTGTTCAGTTTGTATCTGGCTGCCTTGACAACTCTTATTTCCTCTGCTAGGGGTGCAGGCTGCATCTTTATTGAAATGTTGCAGGGTCAACCTTTGTTTCCTGGGGTTTCCAACATCCTTGAACAGCTGGAGAAGATCTGGGAGGTAAGAGAAAAACTTCCATCTTCATTTCACACTTTGAACCCAAATTGTCTTAGAGACAAATGAAACGGTCCATCTGCTTTGAGATCCTGAACTATATATTAAGGTTGTAGAAACTGATGTTGGCCACAGGAGAACTAAGTACCTTAGCTCTTAGTAGTTAGGAAAACCTTTGCTGTGCCAACGCAGCCTAGGAAGCTACCCACTGATAACCACCCAGGCTGCTGTTTTCTATCATTATTGTCTCAACTTCTTGGGGCAATCTCTTTCAATCCCACCTGCCTTATCACCCTCAACACTAATTCAACCATATAGTTGGCCCTGGATCTTTCCCAACTGAAGATAAAACACCAAGTATACCTTGAACTCTGAGGAGACAGAGACTTCTCATGTTAGTGTAAAAGAAGTAATTACAACACTCATCCACATGCTCTTTCAAGTGCACAGTTCGTCTTACAAGGTGCTTGCACATTGTAACGCACTACATCCAGCGCCTTTGCATTACCTCAACCATTAAACACTAGCTTCCATGCACCATGTCCTTTCAGTCCCTAGGATGCAGCTACTTTTTTTTATCTGTATGAACTTGCTTATTCTAGGTACTCCTGTCCATGGAATCACATGAAATTTGTCTTTTGGTCGCAGCCATCATAGAATAGAAAGAATAGACTAGATGTTTCCTGGAACAATGCCACTCGAGTTATTAGTTCAAGTTGTAAGGCTAACACTGGTGACCAGCCCTGGCCCCTTGAAGAATGAACTATGTGATTTAGTAAGTAAAACATGTCAGATTTGAAGCTGGACATAAACTTCCAAAAAAAAAAAAAGAGTGAATCTGTCTTAACAAATCAGTCCAACAAGTCCTACCAGGAAATCATGTTGGTGTCTATCATACTTCAGTAAAGCCAAGTGGTTTTATTGTTAACATTCGTGACAGCTCATCTGAAATTTAACATAAGTAAACAGATGAGAAATAACACTGGTCTGGTGTCAGAACTCATGGGTTTTGAACACAGTTCTGGTAAAGCAAGACTACAGCTAACCTTCTAAGGTCTCAGAGTCTTAAATTGTGTTTGATTCTCTCATTCTATGAAGTTGTGAGTTTTTAAACAAAATACAAAAAAGAACATTCTGGCTTCAGTCTTTTTAAATCTTGTCCTCTGTTTATTAGGTTTATTTCCCTTAGTTATTTCTCAAGTTTCAACCTGTGCTTCAAGGAGATAGTTCTAGATTACTTAGCTAAGCATTTTGGGTGCTAGGAGGTCAGATTAATTAAGTCATATTTTCTTATACTTCTGTCTAGCAGTTTTGTTCCAGCATCTGTAGTTCTGGGGAAACCATGAGGAAAATCACCACATTGAATACCATTATTGTCGTTTACACCACTGCATCTCAATTAGATTAGACTTATTTTTTCCTACTACAGTGCCTGGCTGAAAATAAGTGCTAAATAACAACAACAACAACAACACAATAATAATAATATATTTAACTTTGATCAAAATTGTTAGGTTTTTAAAAAGAGGTAGCCGAGTAAGAACAGCAGCACGCACGTGATATTCAGGTAAGGGGTAGGTTTATTCAGTAGACCTGCTGGGACCAGGCAAGGTTGGCACTGCACGCGGCTGGGAAAGGCCTGGGAATGAGAGAGAGCTGGGAAAGAGAGGAAAGAGAGAGGAAAGAGCTAGAAAAGAGCAGAGAGAGCAGAGAGAGCTAGAAAAGAGAAGAGAGAGCTAGAAAAGAGAAGAGAAGGAAAAAGCTGAGAGCTAGAAAAGAGCAGAGAGAGCTAGAAAAGAGCAGCGAGAGAGCATCTGGGCCTGCCCTAGGCTTTATCTAGGGTATGGGTGGAGAAGGGTGTGGCCACATCAAATTCAGATGTGGCCTCAGCGGATGCAGATGTGACCTCTTCCAGGTGTCCCAGTTGCCTAGGTAACGCAGGTACTGGGTGGAGACTGCTGCGATGAGGGTGGAGTCTGCTGGCCATCCAGGAGTGGACCTTACAAAAATTTGGGCCAGGTGGAAAGTGCATGAGGAAAGAAACAGCTAAGAAGGGACTATAGAACTTTGGATTCATTTGTCATTTTTTTCTGGTGCTAGTCCTGGGGCTTGAACTTAGGGCTAGGGTAGTATCCTTGAGCTTTTGTGTTCAAGGCTAAGCTCCACTTTTGGCTGTGTGTGTGTGTATATATGTGTGTGTGTGTGTGTATGTGTGTGTAGGTATGTTTAATTGCAGGTAAGAGTCTCACAAACCTTATTTCCTGGTCTGGTTTTAAATAGTGGTTCTCAGATCTCAGCCTCCTGAGTAGCTAAAATTACAGGCGTAAGCAATCAGTGCCCAGCTCAATGTATAATCTTCATAGGAAATAATGTTTCAATCCAGCTGAACACATATAAATAAGGGTATAGCAAAAATGTCACAGGAAAAAACATTTCATGTGATGTCTTACAAAAGCATTAACACTGGGCTGGAGGTGTGGTTCAAGTAATAGAATTCCAGCAGTGACCAACAAACCACTGACATTACATTTGATGACCTTGACATTTCTTTAGGAAGTATATCCATATGGACTGATTTCTTTATTTAGCAATTGACAAATGTATACATATTTATCATGACGTGGGTTTCTAAATTTAAATTAACTATTCATTCATTTTTGTAGTACTGGGGTTGGACCCTCTGGCCTCCTGTATGCCTCATGTACTGCTATTCCACTGAGCTATTTTCTAGCACCAACAAATGTTTTAAATAAACATTGTGGATTTGGCCACGCCAAGCCAATTAATATATACATCACTTCACATACTTATCTGCCCTTACCCATAAGACATCTTAAAATCTACTCAGCAATTTTCAATAATTCAATACATAATCATCACCTTGTTGTTCAACAGGTCTCTTGAACTTATTTCTCCTATCTCCCTGAAATTTTGTATCCTTCAACTAACATTTCCCCAGCTCCCCTTTCCTTTAGTCTGGGGTAACCACTATTATACTTCAGTGAGTTCAGCTTCTTTAGGCTGTACCTTTGAGGTCATAAAGTATTCATTGTTTCTGTGTCTGGCTTATTTTATTTTACATAATGTCTTAACAGTGTTCTCCATATTGCCACAAATGACAAGATTCCCTTTTAAGCCTGGATGCTATACCATTATGGATAATGTGCCACATTATTTTTATCTATTCATTTGTTGATGGATACTTGTTAGTTCCATATCTTGTGACTAATGCTGCAATAAATGCAAGATTATAAATGTCCCCTCTATGTCCTCACTTCATGTTTTTGGGTGCATACTCAGTAGTGGGATTTCTAGGTTATAGGGTAGTTTCATTTTGAAAGAACTTACAATGTACTTCCTTAATCACTGTTTGTTTGTTTGTTTGTTTGTCTGAGACCAGGACTCAAATTTGTTATCTGACACTTTGACTTATTGGCTGGCACTCTACCACCTGAGCCATGCCTCTAACCCCACAGGTTGGTTTCTCTTTTTTTTTCTTTCTCTTTTGTTTATTACTTAGTGAGTTAGTTCATTATTTTTGTGTGGGCTGGTCCTGGGCCTGAAATCAGAGCTAGGTGCTGTCCCTGGGCTTTTTTGCACAAAGTTAATTTCCCACTTGAGCCACAGCTTCATTTCTGGCTTTTGGATGCTTATTTGGAAATAAGAGTCTTATAGACTTTCCTACTCTAGCTGGCTTTAAACTGTAATCCTTGGATCTCAGCCTCCTGAGTAGCTAAGATTACAGGCATGAGCCACTGGCACTCAGACTTTTTCTTTTAATGGCTTTTCTAACATACATTTTCACCAACAGTACAAAATTACATTTTATCTTTTTTATGGTGATCATTCCAATGGGAAAGAGTTGATATTTCTGTGCTGTTAATCATAACTAATTGTTGTTCTAACCTACAATTCTCTGATAGTATTGATTTTAAACATTTTTTCATTTGCATATCTTCTTTCGAGAAATTTGTATTGAAGTCCATGTGATTTATTTTCTTCCTATACAGTCTTTTAGAGTTTCTTACAAATTTTGGATATGAATTCCTTATCAGATTCAGTTTGGAAATATTCCATAGGTTGTCTCCATACTCTACTATTTTTTTTCTGTATAAAATCTTTTTAGTTTTATGCAGTCCTGTTTGTCTATGTTCACTTTTGTTGCCTGTGAACTAAACTAGAAAATTAAGCAGATTACAAATCATTCCTGAGTTTGAGTTTTACTAAATGTGGTCTACACAGATAAAAATATGAAATTTATTTTTGAGGTCTCATGGCACTTAATGCAGGGATTGCTTCTTTGACATAAATAAGTCTATTCTAAATTTTCCAACATCTAACCACAGTTAGTGAGGTTTGCACTTTGAGACTCATGTTTGCTAGGCAGATGTTCTACCACTTGAGCCACTTCCCCTTGAGTATTTGATCATCTTTCTCATCTGTGTGCACTCATACATGTATTTATATCTATGTAATAAGTATCTATGTAATAGATAATAGATTTGTGGCTAATTTTTAAAATGTAAATTTGCAGTTAAGTGGGGTTTTTTGGTCAAATCATTTTGGACTCAGTTCAAAACTGAGAATAAACTACTCCAATTTTGAATCTATCAGTCCAAATGCCATTAGTTTCCATTTCAGCAAAGGCAGTGGACAGCTTCTATAGACACTATGGTCTAAAACACAGAACTCACTAGCTGTCCTGAAAGAGTCCTCATGGGTTTAAATCAACAATGGCTGGTCTTCAGTTTCTTAGAAAGGGAAGGGAAGCTTTAGTAGTAATTGTCAGAAGTGAAAAAGAATTCTATAACTTCCAAATGGAAACTGATCATCAAATTTCCATTAAAAATACATTAAAATTTTAATTTCTAAAATCTTAACCTTGAGGCTTTGAGCATAAGACTGTCCCAAAAGTTTAGTATCCATTTTTGTTGGCATTAGTTAAACATAATACAAAGTAACCAACAAGTTTGATAACTTTCACCTTAGAGAAAATATACTTATTTCCTGAATTTTTTTCATTATTTTGTTTTTCTTTCCATTGGGATTTGCCAGCCAACAAATGAATGGGTACCCATGCCTCACACTCACCCATTCACAAGTGCATCTGTGCAAATACATAAGGTGGTAGCTTGAGAAAGCAGAATGAGCTGTGCTCTCCTACAAAAGAAGAATTAGTCCCGTTGGTTTTTCAAAGTGGATTCCTAGTTTGTCAGAGTTCCCTCTGGCTCAGGGTGGTCAATAGGAAAAGCCTATAATCCTCTCAGTGACTTTCCAGTTTGTTTAGAGAATGGATCAAAGCAAGAAGATTTTACTGGGTGGTATGATTTTATTATTATATGTGACAAAAATAGCACTTTAATGTCTTTTGTTTGTGGACAAGCTTCATGGGCCTCCAGAAGCATATTTCTCAGTCAGAGTCCTAGGCAGCAAATGGATCGATTTAAAATCCTAGATTCCTCACTGATTATATATTTAGCCATTATTAGGCAATTAATTTCCTACCATAAAACCTGAAACATCTATGTTCAGCACCGTGCAGAAGCACTATATGGTAGTCATGAAGTGAAAGTTACTTGTGCTTTATTTCACAAAACAGACTCCCTGTGTAATTGGTTCCGGGCTTTTATGATTATCTTAAAAGAATAATGCTCCATCCAAACTCTGCTTTGGCTTCCTGTTTTCAAAGATTTTCTTCTTTCCATATAACATCTTCATGAAAAACTAAGTTTCAATTTGGTCACCAAAAGCATGGGTCAATGGGGGTTGCCATTACAATCCTCCAGTGAAACATCAAATACCATATTCTAAGGTGCTAAGCATGGAGAAAACAAAGAGAAGAGATGGAATTTATAGAAGGGACTAGAGATAAATTCGGAATGATTTTTTTTTGCTAGCATTCCACTGCCCAGAGGTCAGTAATCTGAATCCTTTTTAATTTGAGCACACGGAGGAACAGCTGAATGGTCATCCTGAGGCATGATTTAAGCTGTCAAGTGTCTCTACGGTCAATATGCTTGTGGTGATAGGATGTAAGGCCGAAGGGACAGCCACTGCTGCTTCTCTATATTCCTAGCTGCCAACGCTGATCCTCATGGATCTTCACGCATGACAATTTGCAGATGAGAAAGCCTTTCAGCCAGGCTGTGTAATCTGCCTCAAGATAACAAGCCAGTCATGAGCACACAAGCTCATAGGGATATGCTCGAGATTGTCCAATAAACTAAACAAGATCAGAGACACTAAAATTTCTTTCTCATGTATATCAGCTGGTGTCTGGTGACACCTTCCTCTGTCTTCCTCCTTCCTTCATCTGCCCTTTTTAATCTTTGTTTCTGCTCCATACCTAGTTTTCTTTCCCTTCCTCATCTTCCTTCATTTTTCTGTTATTTTATACAGGTGTTGGGTGTCCCTACAGAGGATACTTGGCCTGGAGTCTCCAAGCTACCTAACTACAATCCAGGTAATATTGATCCAAAGTCTGGAATATGGTGAAGATCAGCAATGACAAGAGAGCATTGGTTACATAGAGTGTCTATCTTGTATTGTGAACTTAACAACAAAAATGAGATTTCTAGATTCCTGTATTTCCTGACTCACCCTTTTATGAGAAAGGTATTAAAATAGTAGTTGAGACTGTGAAACACAAGTAGCAAGCTAAAAAGTCATTTGGAATTATTGTTACCATGAGTTTCACAGCCATTTCTAATACCCAGTAGTTCAAAGGAACAATATGATTTTAAATCCTTGAGTGAGGACATGGTATAGCTTTTTGTTGTTGTTGTTGTTGGTTTGTGGGGCTTGAACTCAGAGCCTAGGCATTGTCTCTGAGTTCTTTTGCTTAAGGCTAACAGTCTACCACTTTGAGAAACAGCTCCACTTCTGGTTTTCTGGTTGTTAATTGGAAATAAATCTCATGGACTTTCCTGCCTGAGCTGACTTTGAACTGCGAGTCTCAGATCTCAGCCTCCTGAGTAGCTAGGATTATAAGCGTGAGCCACCAGTGCCTGGCATGATCTCACTTTTTGTGCCCCTTGACTATCATTGATTTGACTTGCTAGGTTATTGAACTTACAAAGTACTGGAGGGGCAGGGAGGGAAGCTAAAGCAACAGAGAGGAGTTAGAGCCTTGCTAGACCTAGAACAAACCATGTATGATGTCTCTAGATTATACTTATTAAGAATTCATCCATTGCTTCCAGACCCAACACTTGTTCATTTTGTCCTACAAAACTGACTGCATAAGAGTTGGAGGTGTTTGAAATGTCTCTGTGGGTCTGGGAGCATGGTTCAGTTGTAGAGCTCTTGCCTAACAAGTATCAAGCCCTGAATTCAAATGGCAATACCACACATACAAAAAAAAAAAAAAAAAGTGTCACACCTGTAATCCTAATTAACCACCAGAAAACCGGAAGTGGAACTGTAGCTCAATTTGGTAGAGTGCTAGACTTGAGCAAAAGAGCTCAGAGACAGTGCCCAGGCCCTGAGTTCAAGTCCCATTACCAAAAAGAATAACAAGAAAAAGTCTTATCCATGAAAACAGAAAAGTAGTCATGAAGTCATACCAAGTGATTCAGATTACCCAGAAATCATTTCAAGGATGTTGAGTCAGAAGAGAGGGGATAAGCAGTAAGGCAGGGTAAATGACAATATCAAAAAGTAGAGGATCAATCAAAAGCTATATCCAAGCTCCATTGATAGGATTAATGGGGAGTAGTACTGAGGAGGACAAATTAAGATGAATGTGCTTCAAGTCAGATTTTTCTAGTCTTTACTTTCTTTTCTCATCCATTATTAAATCCAAAACCTTTTCAAGTTGTTAGTATTACAAAGTGTTGAGTTATTACAAACAACTGTATGTGAGTAACATGGTTTCCTGAGAGCAAAATATTAGAGGGAGAGTAAAAAGTGATTAAAGAAGAAAAGATCCCAGGAAGTGCCAGTGGCTCACACCTGTAATCTTAGCTACTCAGGAGGCTGAGATCTGAGGATCAAGGTTCGAAGCCAGGCCAAACAGCAAAGTCAATGAGCCTCTTATCTCCAATTAATCACCAGAAAACTGGAAATGGCTCTGTGGCTCAAAGTGGTAGAGCATTAGCCTTGGGCAAAAAGGTTCAGGGACAGTACCCAGGCCCTGAGTTCAAGCCCCACAACTAACAAAAAGAAAAACAAAAAGAAAAAAAAAGAGGAAGAAGAAAACAAAAGGCCAGGCATAGTGGCTCATGTCACTTATACACATAGTAGGCTGAGGCTTGTATATATGGATTTTAAAGCCAGCCTAGGTTACGTAGTATGATTGTCAAAGAAGGAGAAATGGGCCAGGCACTAACGGCTCACACCTGTAATCCTAGCTACTCAGGAGGCTGAGATCTGAGGGTCACGGTTCAAAGCCAGCCTAGGAAGTAAAATCTGTGACACTCTTATCTCTAATTAAGCACACACACACACACACACACACACACACACACACACAAAAGTTGGAAGTAGAGTTGTAGCTCAAGTGGTACAGCATTAGCCTTGAGTAAAAAAAGCTCAGAGACAGTGTCCAAGCCCTGAGTTCAAGCCCCAATACCATTAGTTAAAGAAAGGAAAGGATGTGTGTGTGGGGGGGGGAGGGGGAGGATGGGAAGGGATAGGAAGGGGAAACAAAGGAGGAGGCTACAATGCTTGATAAGAAATGTACTCATTATCTTGCCCATGTAATTGTAACTCCTCTGTACAGTATTTTCACAATAAAAATAAATAAATAAATAAATGGAAGGAAAGGAAGGAAGAAGGAGAAAACAACAGATATAAGAGGCAGGGACCTTTTCATTTTTTTTTTTAATATAACATCTACTACTTTTAAATCCTACATAAAACTAACAACAGACTGGGCTGGGAAGGTGGCTCAGTGGTAGAGTGCTTGCCTTGAAGGCATGAGGCCCTGGGTTCAATTCCTCAGCACATGAGGAATAAACAGAAAAAGCCAGAAGTGACACTGTGGCTCAAGTGGTAGAGCACTAGCCTTGGGCTGAAGTGCTGAGGGACAGTGCCCAGGCTCACAGTTCAAGCCCCATGACTGACAAAAAGAAAACAAACAAACTAACAGCAGACTAAAATCCTCTCAACTGTTTTATGAATGATTATATTTTTTTTCCACTTACAATGGTTTACCATTTCTTACTATTTGCTTGAATTTAACACAATAAGGAAAATGTTATCCCAGCCAGAGAGCTTAGAACAGTACCTTTTCTGTTTGCTGTGAAATTGAGAGAAAAAGGAAAAGCCTTTTGTGGAGAATGTGGTTCAAAATGCAGTAGTCCATCTCCAGTTACCATGGTTTCCAGAACCTGGCTCTCATCTTTCTATCCTGCCTACGCTTTTCCCCTCCACCCAATTCTCCATCCAGGTAAACATTGGTCCTCTTACTTTCCTCACTTTCCTACCACCTATGGGTATAAAAATTTAGGGTCACAGGAAATATTTTAGATGCTGTAAATATGAAGCTTCCATGATTATCATATGCTGTTTTCCCAAACTTCACCCATTTGGATTTTAAGTGGGTCCCGGCAATCATAGAACATCTTGATGAAAATAACAGAAACTTAGCTGAAATGTTTCCCTGTAATTTCTGTGTGAAATAGGGTAACAAGGCTCCAATAAAATAGAAAATTGCTACATTTTTCATTGTTTTGCCAAGTCCAAGCAATATGCCATTTTTATTTACAAAGAAATTCTCCAGGCTTAGCACCAAGAAGGCTCACATTTTGTGTTATTTTTCTAGTAAGTGTTTAATTCAGAGAAGTCAGCTTTTTTGAGCACTTACCTACTAGGTGCTACACAGGGTGCAGCGCAACACAGAAGGATGTGCTATGTTGGTGGGTCTCTAGAACTTGGGTTTGGACTCTCTACTCTTGAACCACTCTCCTTGTTACCTGGATACTCATTTGTGAGTGCTGCTTTCATTGGCTTGGGAAGCTCGAGACTATGGGTGAGGCTAAGCTTATAGAAAGAAGGGAGTTTAACTTTAGCCACAGCCAAGATGTCTAACCCTGCTGCTGCAAATCTTCAGCGTCTGGCATATCTTGGGCCCAATATCAGACTATATTAATAACTCAATCCTAAGCACTATCTTAATGGGTCATCAAGATCTGTTCCAGGAGCCTTCCTTTATATGAATCAGTAAGTCCTTTTGAGCTTCCCCCACCCCCATTACAGAGTTGCTGCTGCTGCTGCTGCTACACAGTTGAACTTTAATCATTTAAAGGGAACTGAAGAGGTGATGGGAGCCAGAAAATTGTCATAGAGGAGAACTATGCTAACACCATTCTGGACAAGACTTCCATTCCTGTCCTTCTCATTCCAAGTAGTAATAAAGCTCCCAACTTCACATTCAGCCAGCACAATTAACATTGTACATTGGACATTAATGTAATGTAATTATACATTTAAAAACTAACATATAGTTGTACATATTTATAGAGTACAGTGTCATATTTCAGTCCATATATGTAATGTGTAATAATCAAATCAGTTAGCATATTATTCCTCTGTGCTGGGAGCATTAGAAATCCTCTCCATTTGCTATTTTGTTGTTTTTGTTTTGGGGATGTTGAGGATTGAACCCAGGGCCTCACATGTGCTAGGCAAGTGCTCATCCACTCAACTATATCCCAGTGATCTAATAGTTATTCTGAAATGTTCAGTTAGTTGTTATCAATTGAAGTTATCCTGCTGAGCTATAGAACATGAGAAATTATTCCTCTTGATACCTTTTTTTTGCAATGCCGAAACTGAATCCAGCATCTTGAATGTCCTAAGAATGCACTCTACCACTCTACACCTCAGCCCAGAAATGAATTATTCCTTCTAACTTCCTCTGTACCCACTAACCATCTTTTTTGACCTGCTCTCCTCCACACACTTTCCAGATGCTGATAACCACAACTCTCTCCTCTACTTCTAGGAGACCAAGTTTTTTAGCTTTCACACATCAAAATTTGTGTGTATTTCTGTGCCTGATTCACTTCACTGACTTATCCCAGTTCCACCCACATTACTGCAAATTATAGAATTTCATTTTTCTATGACTGAATAGTATTTCTGTGTGTATCATATTTTCTTTTCTTCTTTTGTGTGTGTGTGTGTGTGTGTGTGTGTGTGTGTGTGCATATGTATGCCAGTCCTGGGGCTTGAACTCAGGGCCTGAGTGCTGTCCCTGAACTATCATTTGAACTACAGCTCCACTGTGGGCTTTTTTGGTAGTTGATTGGAGATAAAAGTTTTATGGACTTTCCTGGTTGGGCTGACTTTGGAGCTTCATGAGTAGCTGGGAGTATAGGCATGAGCCACTAATGCCTGGCTGTATCACAGTTCTTCATCTTCTTCTGTTAATGGATATCTAGATGGATTCCATGTCTTAGTTATTGTGGTACTACTGTAGACATGTAAGTGCAGATATCTATATGGTATGCTGGTTTT